CCGGCGGGGAAAGTTTCCGGCACCTCCTCTCCTCCCCGCCGCCCGGTCGCCGTGCGGCGCCCAAACTGGCGGGAAAGCTGCGTGCAGCTTGCTCAGTGCGCAGGCTCCGGGAACTCGGGGCGTTTGCCTTCTCATTTTTTAGCCAAAAATTGGAAGAGAGCCGACTGCGATGGGAGTCACCTCCTCGTGGCCCAGATAACTTTTTGTTTCTCATTTACAGCTTTGGTTTTTTTACATTTTTTCCCCAGAAGTCACTAAGATTTAGCAGATAAAATACAAATGTCTACTTAAACTGGAATTCCACATAAACGAATGCCCCCATTTTTTGCATATGTAGATTCTATGTACTAAAAGGATAATATCTGAAATTCAAATTTATCTGACTAACCTCTTTATTTATACTATTTGGAAATCCCATTAGCCATAAAGTTGCTGAAAATCTACAGTACCCATTGCAGACATAATGTTCAGTTGCAACCTGGAACTTTTCTCTAGATTCTTTCACAGCAGCTCGAGCACTAACATCTGGAGCAGAATTCGCAATAATGCATACTAACACCTACATTTAATTCCTTTTTTAAGACCCGCCCCCATTCAACCCAGTACAATTTAGCACAACAGATGTCGAAGCCCATAATATCACACATTAACTTTCATTCTAAGGTATACAGGACCCAAATAATTTCTTGAGGTACAAACTTTCAAAACCCACCTATATGTTTCATAATATATATATCCAAGCTACATGCCTGGATATCCTACGAGCAGATCTTAGTATTTTAGAGTCACTACAAATTTGGATTATTTCCAATTAACATTTTCATATTCGTCTGCATGTGTAACAGACCTGTAATTAGATGCTAATTGCCTGAAATACTGATACCTACAGAAAATGCTCACCGTCTTCATAAACAATGACGGTTTCTGTGGCACTAGTCACTCCACAGCTGATCCTGCTATCCTGCATTGGAACAAGTTTGTTGGCCACTGCAGCATATATTTTTTTTTAAAGTGGGCATCAAGCGTGCATTTGGTTTAAAAGGTACACAGATTTGCCAGGGTAAAGTTTTCCCCTAACCTTGTCCAGCCGCTGCACGACTTTATCACTTGTTTCCGACAATGACACCGATATAATCATCCACACGTTGTGCGCACACCAATATTCCCCATCGTTAATATCCAGATGTGTAGAATCTACCTAGTTCACCCTAACTCCCTTTTTGTTCTATTTGAGACGCTTTCTCTCTATTTAGTGGCTCGCCTGGAACCTGCAACTATCTTCGTGGGCCTCTGAGGTGTCGGACGACAGGCTGCACCGCCATCCTTTCAGACATGAGCGCTCTCGACGAACCCTTTATCACCACAGCAGGAAACTATGTTCTAAATGGAACCAGAGATTTATCTGCTTAGTTTTGGTTAAATGGTAAATCTATGTTATTCCAAATTAATTTTGGCTTTTAAGGTGTTTAATGATTAGGTTTCAATTCCTTGCAGCCAACGACCCGCACGCCCATACAATACCAAACCTCACTGTTACATCTTTGCGTAGTGCTGGGAAGATGCTTAGCATTTGACAGCAAGCACAGTCGCTGCAGAGGACCCCAATTTGGTTCTGGGCACTTACACTGGGTGGCTCCAGGGGATCTGAAGCCCTCTAGACTCCTCAGGCACCTGCACTTGTGCCATGTCCCTCATACACACATAATAAGAGTCTTCAAAAAGAGCACAATTTACCACATCTGCTCCTGTAGCTCCCCACTGCGTCCTTCAGTTAGACACAGTAAAACTCACCTTAAATTCTATATTCACCACTGAGCCTTGTTTCTTTTTCGCCTTCTTTTTGAATACTAATAGCAATATTAACCTGAACCACAGGCGACTTAGTAACCTCTTGCTTTTTTTTTTTTTACAGAGTATGCACTGTATTTGTGCACACTCGGCAAAGGGCTATATTCCCTGAAGGGTAGAGATAGGCGCACGTGTTACTGACACACCAGAACTTGATTACAGAGTCTTATATTCGATGCTGAGATATAAGGTTCTCTCATCTAGGTACAAAAATCCCCTAGCGATTTCTGTAGTATGACCAAGGAAACACTTACCAGTTCTTCCCTGATGGCTGTATAGTCAAGGACAAGAAAGAAGCTGCTCTGGTCCCCGCTCGTTTTTTGAACTGTGTATCATGTGTGTTTATTTCTATCATCACAGCCCCAAACTTGCCAGTGCTTTCTAACATTCCTTGTAAAATCATATCGAAAACTCTATGCATTAATCATCACTATTAATTCCATTTCATGGACAAGAACATCCAAACAGGCTGACTAGTTTGCTCAGGTCATACACTGGGCAGAGAGCAGGGACTGAATTGATGAAGACCCTGACCACTGGGCACTATGGTTGACAAGATGCAGCCTCTTAAAGCCTGCAACAAACCAGATGCTTTAAACAGACACAATGTTTTAAACCTGGGCCAGTCCTAAAAATCCTCGCCAGCTCATACAGAAGGGGTTCTTTAACAGTTTCTCAATACTTGAAGTTCTTTGTAATATTCATATATATTTATCCCAAATGCATTGTCACAAGACAGTAATTGTCTCAAAACAGTTTCAGTTTATTTCAGTCAGATATTAATGCGGTGAAACATTTTTACTAGCGACCTTACTGTAGCTGAAAGAATGGATCTTGAAGTGAGCCACGCTGATAGGTTTGTCACTCTACAAAGTGACCTCTAACTTCCTGCTCCGAGGACTGAAGGAAGAGGAACCAGGAGTCACTGGATCTGAAAGCAGTGTACACTAATATGAGAATTTTCTCAATTACTTCTCAGAGCAGGATTTTTGTTTTGTTTTGTTTTGTTTTTCGAGATAGGGTTTCTCTGTAGCTTTTGGATCCTGTCCTGGAACTAGCTCTTGTAGACCAGGCTGGCCTCGAACTCACAGAGATCCGCCTGCCTCTGCCTCCCGAGTGCTGGCATACGCCACCACCGCCTGGCCAAAGCAGGAATTTTAACTGAGTTTTTTGCTCCCTGCCTTGAATTTTAAGTGAGGATCCTGGATTCAAGTGATATTCCTGTTTCAGTCTCTGGAATATCAGAGGTGACATTTGTATGTCTTGTTAAAAAAGAAAATTTGAAACACAAGTTTTTCGAGCTGTGGAGGGATGGTTTAGCACTGATAAATACACGAAGTCGCAAACAGCTGCCCCAAATTAACAACAACAACAAAACTCTTAAAGTTTAAAAGGGCCTAAGCCAGACGGGGAGACGACTAGTTTACTAAGCCAGACCAGGAGACGATTAGTTTGCTAAGCCAGACGGGGAGATGACTAGTTTATTTAGCAGGCACAGGGCCTTAAGTTCAGCACTGCTCCCCGAATGTCCCTCCAAATCTAATCTACACGAGGACAGAGCTTTTAACTTGACCTACGATTCTTACTCAAAGTTTTCTATTTTCTTTCAAAACTATGACTCTATATTCACTTTCTTTCCATTTTATTTATCAAAAGCTTTAACAAGTTTCTCAAAAACATTTCTCCTTTATTTCATCTTTTATTTTTTTTCCAAATTGACTATTTACATAATGCATTGTAAGCACAGAAAATTACCAGCCATAAATGATGAGGGAATCAATGATGTTCTGAACCTAATAGGGACAGGAAAGCAAGCACAAAGTATACCAGAGAAAAACTGGATCACCAATCAGATTTAAAACATACTTATCAAAGAAAATATGATTGAGGTTAACTAGTAGGGCTGGGATGAAATACGTAAGATCTATGCACTCAGAGTCTTAACCATACAGCTCTGAAGAAACACCTACTCTAGACTACGAAGATTTGGCCTTGAAGCCAAGAAACGTTCCTGATTATAGTACATAACCAGTATAGCTCAACAACGTAGAGATTGTAAGAAAAATGTAGAGAAACAGTGGTGTGGTATTACTTTCGAGAATCGTGTTGGGAGCTAAGACAGGAATCATGCAAAATTAGATAAAATATCCAGTCTGACATAAACACCATATGGTAACCACCCTGAGACAGGAGTTGGATGCTATGTGCTAAAATTATGACACAGAGTGGAAGTGCTGGGGGAAAAAAAATGAAATTTGCAGTTCGGTCTAAATCTTACTACTTTATTTTCCTAGCTAAGGAGGGTAAGACTGCAACAGCAGCTCCCTCAAGTCTTTCTTCCGTCTACTCAAACACCACCTAAGTAGTATTGCTATCATACCACAGTGCTTTTGCAATAATGGGTGATTTAAGAGATAGTCCATGGCTACACTATTTGCTGAGTTTTAGTTCAAAGTGAAGCTTAAGGTAATATTTGTAGTAACTGAAAATGATCTCAAAATTCAGAAATTTCCCTTTTCTTACTTGAGGGTCTAATCATTCTCAACAGAGTAATAAGGGATGTTTCAAGGCATCTCTGTGTTACCATGAGCAACAGTGGATGCCAAAATACTCTAGGAGTACTTAGAAATAAGATAAAACATTTTCATCTTCCATCAAAATTGCTTTAGATATGGATTTAATTTTTATGTGTTTGGGTATTTTGCCTGAGAGCATGGTGGTCATGAAACCTCAGGAGAGCATCATAACTCCTGGAACTGGAATTACAGACAGTTGTAAGCTGCCATGTGGGGGCTGGGAATTGAACCTGGGTCCTTGGGCAGAGCAGTCAGTGCTCTTAACTGCTGATCCATCTTTCCAGTGCCCAGATTACTGCTTTGTAATAGAAAAATAGAAACAGACTAAACAGAAGTAGCATGCTGCCTGTAACACTTCCAGAAAGCAAGCAGGGCAAACACCAGTAAGTAGTACTGAGATGACATAAACCTACCAGCAAAGTGTTTACCTCCCAAAACAAAGGCTCTTTTCCCAAAAGACAAAACAACCCCCTCCCAAAAACACAACAAAAAGACCTACAAATTTTGCATGCCCTCTTTAAAAAAAGGGACACCATTCTGCTATTCACAACACCGCAAAGACATGACTGTTCCAAGTTTAGCTACTGAATCCATTTATTTATAGCAATCTCATTCTTTGTCTTGGCAGCAGAATCATAGACTCAGAAATACAGTAGGCGATAGTTGTAAACTACTTCACATTGTCCATCATTAAGATGGCAGGGAACTTCAGCAAAAAAGGCAACAGGGGTCAAAGTGGAAGGCACTTCTATAATCACACTTAATAAGAAGCTGTCACCATGTTTCTATCGCTCTGAATGTGAAGGAAGAATAGGTGAATGGGAATGGGTAGAGAATGAAAAGAGGATCACTCCTCATTCTCAATTAGCAAGTGAGGTAAACAGATAATTTAGATTGGAGGGAGTGAAACTGATGCCCAAGAAAAGGGGAAGAAAAAGAGTTGAATACTCTTTGGATATAACAGTGGATATATCCTGTGATCAAACCACCTGAATAAGTGCCTAAGAATGTCCTTATGAAGTCTACACTCATATTAAACATTTTTTCTGAAGAATCAGTAACTTGTGGTCATCACTGTATTAGAGTCAGAAACAGCAGCTTTGGAAAATTGCTTAAAGAAAAATGAGGAGGTGGACCCTCAGCTAGTCACTGGAAGATCACAGAGATTATTCACAGACACGGAGGACTTACCTCAGCTCCTCTTGCCTGCTTTCTGAGCAAGGTGTCACTGTGTAGTCCTGGCTGCCCTTGAAGCCTTGTGAAGCCTCCTGCCTCTGCCTCTTGAGTGCTGGGCTTACAGGCATGAGCCACTACACCCAGCTTATCCGCCTGGCTCTTTAAAACCAACACTGATAATACAGTAAAATGACTGATTTAATCCAAGTCTTCTGAAAGAGTCTGCATGTAAATTGAGATACAATGACAACTTTCTTTCCCATTTACAAAAACAACATTAAAATAAAAGCACCACTCTACTCTCTAGATACAAAATTTTAATTCAAATGGCCATAAAGTATTAAAACTATTTATCCACTATATGTTAGATTTTAGTACAACATGCCATGTAATGTTTGCTCGTCTCACAAATGATTAAAATAAAAACAAAACACAAAACCATAGTTCAGTTTAATAAAGATAGCCGCAGGGTAGTAGTGGTGCAAGCCTTTAATTCCAGCCCGTGAGAGGCAGAGGCAGGTCAATCTCTGAGTTTGAGCCCAACTTGGTCTACAGAGCACAGAGCGAGTTCCAGGACAGCCAAGGCTACACAAAGAAACCCTGTCTGGAAAAACAAAACAAACAAACAAACAAACAAGCAGTATTGTAGCCCTAAGCATTGCAAATTGCAATGCTTTTGACAATTCAAAGTATTTCCAAAATGGCAAATCTAGTAAGTGGGAACATTACAGACTTGTAGTAATGCTTTTGAAGAGACCATTATTGTCTACCTCTGTGGTAGTTTTCTAGAAAAATCTATAAACCACAGTAATCTGAACCCAGACATTAATCTACTTTGGGTCTTGAGGATTTGGCTATCCACATGAATTATTTTACATCTGAGGAGTGTATATGATAGTGCCTTTTACTGACACGACTGTCACAACATTTCATTGTAGGGGTGCACTTCTGATGTTTTCTCGCACTGTTCATAGTGTATGCTAATTCACTCTCAGATTCTTAGGTGACCATTGACCAAATGCTTACCTAGGACTAGTTGGTACCAAACTCACAACAGCACAACATTCTTCACACTGTAGAAGAAAGGACAAATGACTGCTTTGGCTGCTACTAAAAGTGAACGTTATCCACTAGGATAACGTAAGTAAACTAAATTGTACACTGTTTTCTTCTGATGCTATTTAGAATTTAAAGAATGAAGCAGGTGTTCACTCAAAAACCATATGGGGAATCAGGTAAAAACATAAATGTTAACATGTGCATTTCTGTTTTAGTCAGACTTAATAATTCTTTTCTTTTAGGCACATAATAGACTTTTAATAAGTGCTATGCAAAATGCATACAGTAAAACTAGAAAAGTTTAAAATTAATCATAAAGAGATAAGACACTACCAAAATTGTCCTTTTTTCCTTGGTAGTTGTTACACTGCTACATTCCAAAAGGTAGTCTATACAAGTACACAATTACATTAAACCCTGTGTTCAGCAGTCTCTAAAAGAGATGGTCACTGGTAAAAACTCAGTATGAGATTTAAAATTCATTGCACTGGGATGGGGCGCGATGATGGGGATTGAACCTAGGCTTCATGGTTGAATCTTGTAACTCCATGAAGCCCAGATCTCACAGTGACTGAAGAATCCAGTTCATAATTAAAGAGCATGGACAATGTATTAATCTGTCTGGGACCAGCACATAGTTGAAAATATGGTGGAGAAGAATGTGTGACCCAGAGGCATTAATTACAGTACGGACTCCTTTGGAGTGGAGAGGAATGTGAGGAGAAGCCTGACAATTAGTCCACCAAGGCCCACTTGCTTGACACTGAGGCTTTCAGTAATTACTGTACATTAACACATTCATCTCTTTTTATGTTCTGAACTATACAGCATGGCACTGTTATGAAAGCTAACACTGTATCAGCTCAGGTGAGACTCCTGACTTACAGATGGCCTTCACTGGAATTGATCTGCTATGAGCAGACACTTATTTTATATAAACTCAGAGCAATGTTGTGAAAATGTTGCTACCCTATTATTCAGATACTTTATCAGTGATTTCCCTACATTTTAAATCCACAAGTGAATATATAAAAATATAAAAAATACACGGCTTGAGTCATTCTTTTTACACCTTTAAGAAAACACGAATAGCATAGTCTATGAAATGCCATGTTTACCATAACCTTACATGAAATAATAAAATAGAAATTCATTGATTCGTGTGAATAAAAATAATATTCCTTCAAAATAGGCCTTACCACACGTATACAGAATATAGTGCAAATTAAATCATTACATAATTAAAATAGCCTCAAAATTGTATCTCATTGATTACTCAACTTTAATGTCTCCTTATAGTTTTATGATTATTCTGGAGAGTCCAAAATTTATAAATCTTGTTAAAGTCAAAAGCTTTCTAGTGCATTAAAATAATATCAGCCCCATTATCATTTCTTATTAACAGCAATGTTTTCGATATTTCCGAAATGAAATTTTTACTTGGAAGAAAAAATATCACAGCATAATTAAACAAATACAGCAAGCTAGGTCAAAGTCAGTTTTGTGAGACTGGTCATGTGCTCCGTAACGGCAGGAGCGCTATGCTCTAATACAGTGAGCTCACCGCACTGGGACATGCTGCTGCCTCCGCTCACTCACTTGCTGATGACTCGCATTTTATACTGTAGGTTAGCCTAGTGCCGAGTCCTCTTGAAAAGAACTCAGAAAAGGAAGCACAGAAATGAACAAAACCTCACAGGCAAAGTTTCATGAAATCTCAAGTCATCTTGCCTTGGTCATTCAAAGACAGTGACAAATGTCATAGGAAAATTAGCAGAAATATAAAATATGACAAGTCTTTAAAATTCAGACAGCAAATATAAAAACAGACACGTAAAGGCTTAGAGAGAGGCTAAAGAATGAGGTATGATTGGGTCATCGTGCTACAATGTATCTCAGTGTATTAAGTTACAACCTGTGTTTCCAAGGTGCAAAGCCAGCAGACTATTAACTTCTGCTGTTCACATGATCCTCTGGCCAGAGGTGTACAGGTCACCAATAATGCATGTAAAAAGCATGACGCTGTGTGATTACATGATAAGCTTATCTGCCCCATAAGAAGGCAAATCAGAAGTAAAAATGTAAGCAAACAATTTTGTATTAATAATAAATACGCCTTCGAGCATTTTAACATCAATATTTAACATCAATTTTAAATTTTAAATAAATGCAACTATTTTATACAGAACTGTACCATTTATTATACACACAGTACATCAGTTCCCTTTGTTCACAAAGGCTGGTTGTAGATAATTATGGAATGTTATAGTACCACCTTGCATAAAACTTCAGTACAGTTCTGTACTTGAAAAAGGGTGCAAAACACCAGCCTCAGAAATCTGAATGGAAATATCTCTTCTTCCTTTTTAAAAAGCACATCAATGGCACACGCACCACACACTGTACATAAGCTCACTTTTAAATCACCAACTGAAGATATGATAGCAGGTACAAGGGAGAACTCTCTATCCCGATCCCATCAGTTCTCTCTTTAAAAGGCTGGTTCCTTCAGGAGCCTCTGTTGACATGTACAAGAATTACTGAGCCCAGAAAATTACACTTTAAAGAAGGCAAACAACAGCTGCCAAGAATTACTGCAGTAAGAAACGTCCTTCTCATAGAAGACTCAGGAGCAAACCTTCCTTAGGTTATCCGTCTTCCTTCACATGACTGTAGTGGGTCAAGATTCTCCATTTTGAACTTTGGATGCTGGTGGTTGCATGAAATCCTTAAAGGGAACTAGTGCCTCTTTAAGAGCAGAACAAACTTCTGAGGATGAACATGTGATACATTCTACCAAAGTTGGGTATAAGGCAATTACTTGTGCCCATGTATTTCCATCAACTGTAAAGAGAAAAAGTACAAAAATCTCAAAACAGAGTTGATATAAACAGCAGTCACCCAATTTACAAAAACACAATGTAAAAACTCTAACAGACTGGTTCTGAGAGCATCTTTTTAATTTTTAAATTTTGTAAGATTTCCTGATAGAATAATAAAGCATGAGAAACTGAGATAATACAGTATTGTGTACTTAGAAATTAGGTGAGAACGTAGTTAAGGGGCTGGAGAGATGGCGCAGTGGTTAAGAGCACTTGCTGCTCTTGCAAAGGACTACGGTTTGGTTCTCAGCACCCAAATGGCTGCTAAATGTCATTTCTAACTTAACTTCAGTTCCAGGGAAATCCAAGGCCTTCTTTTGGCCTCCTCAGTTATCAGGCACAAAAGTACATATACACATATACAGACAAAACTCATATACATAAAACAAAAATAAGTAAACTCTTAAAAAAGGAAGATAAATGGTCACTGAGTACAGACTCATCAATGCCAACAACGTGAAAATAAGGCATATTTTAAATGATGCTTCCATTTGTGAAAACTTTGAACATTAATAAAGTAACAAAATAATCCAAATCACTGTTTTCTATATAGTTTGCCAGAAAATCTAGTGTGCATGTGCATATCGAGAACAATCGGAAAACATTTTTATTCAGTTGCCTACTAAACTATCTTCCCATAAGTCTCTCAGTAATGCTTTTGACACTGATTGCAATTTCAAACCAAGGAGCAGACATCATCTTCTCACAGAGCTCGCTAACCTCTAAGGTGTATCTCCAGAGTGGGGAGAGTCACGTCTGCCTTTCACCGCATCTACCAAGTGGACGCTTTTCATCAGGCGCACAAGATCCAGCAATCTGCTTATACTGAAATTGCATGTGACATTTATGTTTTCTGTCATTTGCTAAGTTTTCCCAGTACTAGGGACTTGTACATGCGAGTAAGGGTTGTACCACTAATCTTGTGTCTCACCAAATTACCCGGCTGGCCCCTCCATCTTATTCTCTGGCAAATTCTTTGTAGAGTGTTCAGTCTCCATATAACCCTGGCTGGCAGATGTCATGTTATCACATGGGGCAAATCTCCAGTCTGGGGCAGGGTAGCATGTCATAAAGAATTCTATGAAAATGTATAAAACACTCTATGGGGAGGGGCTGATTCTTGAGACAGGTTTTCTCTGTGTCCTGATTTCCTGGAACTTGCTCTGTAGACCAGGCTGGCCTCATACTCACAGAAATCCACCTGCCTCTGCCTCCTAGGTGCTGGGATAAAAGGTGTGCACCACCACACCTGGCTCAAAGCACTTTTTATAATGATTCTGTCTTTGTTAGGCAGCAGCATTTTCTCCCCCAAAATAAAGTGATGTTTGGTATCCTGGTCAAGTCAGTATTTCAGTTCTTTATCTCAGTTCTCCTGATGTGAAACAAGGAAATGAGTTTACAGAGTCTCTCTCAACTTCCGAAACAGGGTCCTGATTAAATAAGCTTGGCAGACAACACATATAGCTCTCCTCTTAAAGACCAACTCCTATGAATTCACTAAAGGCTTAGAGTAAAGAGCATACTCATATATAATCCAGGGTTTCCCAAATGAATGCTTATGAGACTTTTAGCTGCTTGCCTTCCATGCTGACTATGATGCCCAGGGCCAATGGTGGAAGAAGGGAGTCAACCCCCTGCAGTTTTCATATGGGGTGTGCCAGTGTACACCTCTCCTCCACACACACAATAAATACAATGTAATAATAGTAAAAGAAGAATCCACACCATATTTCTTTTTGCTTTTGTTTGGAGTGGAGGTTGGCTTAAAAGAAGCCAGAAAAGAACTGAATAACAAACGAAAGCCAAGCACCTCTGCCCAGCTGTCATCCTCAACACTTCCTACCAGTGCACAGAGGACTAAACAAATGGAGACTAGCTGCACTGGCCAATCCACAGTCAAATTACGACACCAATTCTTGGCTTATTAGAGGAGATACATGATGTGGAATGTCTTTTAGTAGGCTGTGAATGTGCTGCTCTTATTGATTGACAAATTAAGCTGCTTTGGCCTATGGCAAGGCAGGATAGAGCCAGGTGGAAAATCCTAGCAGAGATACAGGAGAAGGGCGGAGTCAGGGAGACACCAGCAGCCATCCAAGGAGCAACATGTCAGAGCATCACCAGTAAGCCACAGGTCACAGAGCGATACTGAGATGAATAGAAATGGGTTAATTTAAATGTAAGAGCCAGCTAATAAGGCTGAGCCATCGGTCATATATTTATAATTAAATCTCTGAATGGTTATTCAGGAATTGGTGGGAGAAATGTTCAGTTACAGATACATCAAGATGACATCTGACTTATCACGTGGGGGAATCTACTCAGGTTCCCGTCGTAACCTGAGGGATTTTTTTTTTAATAGGATGTCAGGTGTATAACACAAATTTGTAACCCAGGACTTGGGAGGGAAAGGAGAAAAGATCAGTAATTCAAGGTTATCTTTGGCTGCATATAGTAGTTCAAGGCCAGCCTGAGTTACAGGAGATTCTGTTTCAAAAACCCCGAATTATAAAAAGAATATTAAAGAGACATATTCACCGATATGGAAGAATATACATGTTTGTTAAGTGAAAAACTAGAGAAGAAAAAAGTAGTTATAAACAGGGAATACTGTTATTTACTTGCATAGAAAACTGGAGTTTACTGGAGAAGGTGTTTTGTATTTACATAAAAAACTTCTAGAGAAGCACAAATTAATAAAAAATAAAGTAGTAATAAAAATACACACATAAGCCAGGCAATGGTGGCATATGCCTTTAATCCCAGCACTTGGGAGGCAGTGACAGGCGAATCTCTGTGAGTTCGAGGACAGCCTGGTCTATAGAGCTAATTTCAGGACAGCCAAGGCTACACAGAGAAACCCTGTCTTGAACTGCCCCCCCAAAACCCCACACATGTATTTTAAAATATTCATTGAGTTGTGTATCCCAACAGGCACCTGGGGGTCAGAGGACAGTTTGTGGCAGTCAGTTTTCTCCTATCATGTGGTTTCTGTTACTGACCTTGAGTTCTCAGGTTTTCAAAGTGCCCTTACCCAGTGAGTACCACATTACCTGCTGTTTTTATTGCTTTAATTGACGTGTATTTATATTGCCTACTCAAAAATTTACCATCAAGTAAAATAATAAAAACAAAATTCCTTCAAACAAAAATAAATCTCCAAATGTCTCATTTCTAGCAGCAAAACTACAGGAAGACGATAATAAAAAATTTAAGCAGAGATGGCGCCTACTGGCTCTAACCTGACAGCCGGTCTCTTGCATCAGGCTTGCCTTGTACAAGGCATTCTTACTTATTTTTCTTTCTTTCTTTTTCTTTTTTTTTTCTTTCTTGTTTTTGTTTTGTTTGTTTTTCGCGACAGGATTTCTCTGTGTTAACAGTCTCGGCACTGTCCTGGAACTCTCACTTGGTAGACTAGGCTGGCCTCGAACTCACTGAGATCCGCCTTGTCTCTGCCTCCCAAGTGCTAGAATTAAAGGTGTGCACCACCCCCACCTGACCTGAAGTTTCTTACACTTTTCTAATATATCACTATAACTTAAGGTTACATCAAATGAAAACATTCACTTCTTAAGTTCAGAGGAGAATTGTGCATGTGTGTGCAGGTGTGCAGGTGCACAGGTGTGTGCGGAGCCAGACAGCAGCTCAGATGTTCTCAGGCACCTGCAGTTGTGTCTGCTATGCACGTGCAGGGATGCAGGAGTCAGAAGACGGCTCCGTGCAGTCAGCTGTCTTCTGTTGTCATCTGGGCTCTGGAGCTCAGCTCAGGTTGTCAGGCGAGGCCATCTTGCTGGCTTACCACATTTTTTAAAAAATAGGTCATTTAATATAAAGATTAAACATTCCAAGTTAATCTTACTGAACTGACACTGTAAGGACTGGAGTTCTGTCAGCACAGGGACGGTAGAACAGAAAGCACAATGGGGTCACATTCTGAAGTTCAGCTGACTCAGCAACAACACAAAGCCCACTAATGGGAAAGATACGTGTGATGTCTTGTATGATAATCAAGTTTTAAGCACTTACCATTCTCAGGCTGAGTTTTCTTAAGTGAGTCAATGAGAGTGCTGACTGCTTTTAAAACAAATATGATTTCTGTTACCTGTTGCCTAAAATAGATAAGAGAGATGATTTTCATTAAGATTTTAAAGATACACTGTGTATTTTTCCCAACAAAGTTTGTACAAATAGATACACTTTGGAAAAATATTGACTACAATAAAATATGTTAAATTCATATAAAAGGAAACATTATCAAGCACATATTGGTAGCAAACACACGTACACCTGTATTTCCAGATACAAACACATATATACACCTGTATAGCAAACACACAGACACACCTGTATTCCAGACACAAATCCGATTTGTAGTTACTCTCCAAAATTGTCAATGAAAGGGGAGGAAGTCAACTCCTGAAAAATCTACATTTACAAGACACGTGCAACTATTTACAATTAAAATACTTTACAACACATGCTTTAACAACTTCTCTATAACATAATTTTTTTTTGTTTTCTAATTAATATTAATGGAAATTTGCTAAAGATTACATAAAAGAGATGCATATTTTACAATGCTGCCAGAAGTACACTCAAAATTGCAACGATACTCAGGTTTTAGTTATTTATTGATATTTTATAAGACATGAAACATGCCTGAAATTAATTCTGAGATGGCCTGTGTAGCAACATCTAACAATAAAAATAAGCACATAAGGCTAGAAGGGTCCAGAAGAACACCCTGCTTTAACAGAAATAGCTTTTTTGCCCTATGGTCTCTGCTACCACTCGTCAGATCTGTAATCCCAGATGGCCAGGCCTTCCCAGTACTGTACAGGGCACTACTGCAAGACTTTTTTTTCTCTTCGTTTCTTTTCTTTTTAAATTTGAGACAGGATCTCAGATTCCCTAGGCTGATGTCAAACCTGTAACTGAGGACGACCTTGAACTTCTGATTCTCCTGCCTCAATTTCTTGAGTGTTGAGGTCAGAGGCCTCACTCACTATCAGGCCCTGTTTATGTAGTTTTGGGGACTGAACCCAGGTCAAGTATGCAACCAACTACTGAACTACATGTCTAGACATCAAACCTTCTTTGCAAGCAACTTGATGTTGAAATGTTGCATACAGAAAACACGCAATTCTGCAACACAGAATGAAACAACTTTATCAGTGACCTCAAGTTAGAGAAAGTAGACAGAGTGGGAGAGATGGCTCACTGGTTTGGAGAATATATTGCTCTTGCAGAAGAGCTGAGTTTATTCTGAGAAGCCATATCAGACAGCTCACAACTGCTTATAGATCAGACACTTCTGGGCTCCTCAGGCATGTGCACTAATGTCTGCACATGGACACATAAATGATAATAACAAAAGTAAAATTTAAAAGAAATAATAGAGGAGCTAGTTAAATATTCAACTCTGAACGAATATTATGATCTAATTAATAGACTATTCACTCCAAGAAGCTTTGTCTCTGCCCTTTCATGCACATATCAGGTATCAACTTTAATTAACAAATTTTTAATCATCTCCATAATCAAATTACTAACAAGCTTTCAACGGAAAGTTTTTGTGTATACATTTGAAGGTATAATTTATGATGTAGAAATTTAAATTTCAAGATTGCAGATGGTTAATAAGTATTGGTTATTTTTAAAAATGTGATTTTTGTGACTTTCATTCACCAAATTAGAAAACTGTAAAATAACTATTAAATGAGTAAAGAACTTTAAGATGCTCAAGACTGAGGAAAAGGTATTCATATACTCCTGGGGAAATCTAAACTGGCATAAATCTGTGGTCAGCAATTTGATAAATAACATTTGAACATTTAAAAAGAAAATGGATATCCTTTGTCAGGTCCTACTTCAGAAACAGATAAGAGACAAGAGTGTCCACGGACTTGGGACCTGCGGAGCTGGCCGGCCTCTGCACCCGCACCTAATCATAGAGCGGTCTCCTGACTCTCCTAACTTGGGTAGCTCTGTTTGTATTTCCTGTTTGCTTTGACTTAAACTTATTTTTACATTAAACATATTACGATTACATATTTGCTGAATTCTCTCTACCACTCCATTGTGACTTAGCCCTGGAGGCCCTGCCACGAACACAGGTTGGATACACAAGAAGGAATCAGCTTAGGGGCGAAGGCTTCCTTAGGCAGATTAGAAGACATCGAGATTTGAGAGGGCCAGGGGACAGATATCAAGAAGTGACACTCAACAATAACCCTGGGAAGTGATTTAATCTCTTATTTTCTCCTCAGAGAAAAATATTATATGTTCAAGCACATCCTTACACAGAAACCTCTGGTAGAAGATCTCTTTTCAGATTCAGATTTTTTTCCCAGGTTAAAATGTAATTGAATACATGTATCACAGATTTCTTAGTCTCCAAGAGAGGCCTGAAATAGCATAATAATAATAAACCCTTACATATATGCAGCAAAGCCTATGAATACTTACATGGTAAAGAGCAGATTCAATTATCAGCCACCTCAGGCTCACCCAGATCACTTAGGAAATCTCTTGGTTTTCGAGCCGTCTTTGTTACTAATTATGATATCACATCAGTGTACTCCCTTCTTAATTACGCACGTACCTTGGGAGAGGGCACTTTCCACTTAGCCTTTCGTCCTCTATGTAGCGATGTAGGACATCCTGAGACCGCTTTAACAGCACGGTGAGCGCCATTCGCGAGATGTAGCCTTCTTGGGGTGTGCTGACTTTGTTACTGAAGGAAAACTGGAGCAGTGTTTCAAAACACATCTTAGAAAACTCTTCTCTCAAGCGAATGTCAATCTCTGCTTCTGTAAAATTAACAACATTTGATTATTAATAAAATGCTAAAATCATGCATGCTAATGAGTCCAGCAAGCTAGGAACTAGGAATAAAAATAAACCCTCAGTAAGATGAAAAGCACTGACCAACAACCTAGTTAAAAAACAAAACAAAACAATTTTTCCTCTTGGAATGTGAAAAAGAAGGTTGTCCATAATGGGCATCTTCTTTCTTGATTTTACATTTGTGTGTGTGTGTGTGTGTGTGTGTGTGTGTGTGTGTGTGTGTTCACATGCCACACCGTGCATGTGGAAGTCAGGACACAACTCGTATGAGTCACTTCTCTATCCCTGCACCACGTGGGTTCTGATGACTGAACTTAGGTCATCAGAGGTCGCAAACACCTGTTGGGCCCAACAATTTTCTTATCTTTTCACCTTTTAAAAATTCTGTAAAATGAGTCCCAAGGACAAGGGATGTCACTTGACTGGTAGAATGCTAAAGTAGCATGCATCAGGCCTGAGTCTGACTTCCAGCTTCTATTCCCATCACCATATAAACGGTCACAGCGGCATCTGTCTCTCACTCCAGAAGGAGAAAGAGAAGTTGATGGTCATTCTAGGCTAAATAGGAAGTTTGAAGCCAGCTAGTTGAAGCTATGTATTTTTTGAGGCCAGCCTAGAGTACCTGGAACCCCACCTTAACAAAACAAAACCTCATGAACTTCTCAAGAGCTTACACTGTAAAGGGCAGCCACAACTAGCTGCCTCTTCTGTCTTTATTATCTTTTCTCCTTTCCTAGGAAAATGAGTCTGCTCGGGTCTAGACTAGCTCTTCTCTAGCCCTGCTGTCTAGCCTTAACCCGAAGGCAGTCTCTGGCCGGCCAACACCATACTCCCTTGTGCCACACTTCCTACAACGCAAGCCTTCCATTTTCCTGGTTTACTCTTGTTCTCACCAAGATTTTCTGCAGTGGCTTGCTAAGAAAGGATGAACGGAAGATAAACTTCTGCTGATCTCTTGAAGATGTCCTTATTTTACTGTGGTACTCAGGTGTGGCTCCCAGCCCCTCCAGCTGCTCTAGAGAACTCTGAGAAAAACCCTGGTAACATGAGATCCTTCTGTACTCCGGTCTACCCAGCTGTGCCTAGGCATGCAACTCCATGGCAAGAAGTCTTCATTTCTAGCCACCACAGCAAGTCTTTGGGAAGGAGAACTTTTAGGCCATTTTAAAAGATTGTGCCTTTGAATGTTTTTCATATGTTCTTTCTACTCTAAGTATGTTGATATTTTGTGATATGTCTTACTAAGGGCCTTTTACCTTTCACTGTTTTGGGTACCGAGTTATCATTTCTAATTTGAAGATACATGTCTTCAAAAATTCCCTTGTCGATATTTCTCTGTCCCTCCTGGAGACGCAGTATCACATTAGACACCTCTGCTCCATTTATTTCTTTTTGATCAAAGCACAGATTTTTCTATTGGCATCTGCTCCACTTTCTTTGTCACTTGGCAGATGTGACATCGGAACACATGGCTCTTATTAGGAAGCACTGTCTGGGGAAGTTACTGGGGTGGACCGTGAGGTTTCCCCAGTATATACTCATTCTCCCTCCCTCCTCTCTCGTGTGGTGTCGTCTCAATCTCTCCCAACCAGACCACACCTCCCCTTCCTAGCTCCTGCTCTCACTCTCAGGCTCCTGCCTGGGGTCAAGTTCTCAGTGTGCTGTTCCAGCTATCATGGCAGCTTGCTGTCACACTTCTCTGCTGTGATGGTGATAAACTGTTATCCCTCATGAATCTGAAACACAAGTCAACTCAGTTTCTTTTACTTACGCGTTGGTTTTAGCCTTTCCTTTCACAGTCTACGAACTCTGGCTATCAGGTCAGGTTAAACAGCCAAGAACTCAGGGACTTGCTGGGCATGGAATGTCCACTGTGTGCTTATAGAAAACCTCGAAGGTAAAGCTAAGGGATGTGTGCTTCAGGCAGGGTCCCTGAAAAGGTGTGCTGGTGCCTTTCAGTGTGGTACACTTCATACAAACACACAGTGAGGCTATCAGAAGTCTGGGACGAGAGCACACCTGATACCTTGGTGCTGACTTAGCTGGCAACAGTTATACCTCATTCGAATTGTACTTCATTAGAGTATCTAGCATTTTAAATAAAAGTATGATACAAACATTAAGTCCACATAATTCTTTTCCTCTGAAAATTTACACGCTGATTAATATACAGGCCAATTTTTTAAAACTGTTGAATGAGTGAAAAAGAATTTTATTTTGTTTTGCAAGCAGTATGAGCGCCATCTAGAGGCCAAACTGTACATATGTTCTTTAAAATATCACAGATTATTCATGGGTGTAGTAAATGCTAGGATTAAGATTCTATACTACAAAAATTAATAATCTCTCAGAAAAAAATCACATTATGATATCACAATTACATCTGAGATTTGAATATATATTTTAATAGAGAAATAATAAGAAAAGACAGATTAGGCAGCAGCAAATTAAGACGCGATGACACATGAAAGGAGCATGTTCCCAGTCTCTGCCTGTGACTATGAGCTTTCCAATCAGACAAAACACTGCTCTGTCTTTAAAGCTGCGGTGCCTACTCTCAGGAATGTTGAGAAAGGCTATCCTTTCCAGCAGAAGGCTGTGCACAGTAGGCATTCCCTAAAGGCTTTATTCCTTGGATAAATGTCAAGGCATTTTCGATAGAGAACCGACATGATAAGTGGCGGAACATTCTCCTTTACACTACAGTCTTTACAATAATCGACAGCTAAGTAGCAGAGTATTCTCCTTTACACTATATTCTTTACAATAACTACAATTTCACAGAACTATAAGCTTTGTCCACCTATATGGCTCCATGAGATCCCAGAAGCACCATGTAACTTATTTAATCAAACCTACAAATACGAACACGCCTACATTTCCCTCCATAAAGTTTAGCAATCTACAACACCACATCACTAAAAATTCTCTCTCCATTCTCTGGTTTACATTTAAACAGAGAATTAAAGACGCCTTCTCAGCTTCTTCAAAAGCACCTCATGCTTCTGAGCACTGTAAAAGCCTCTGAAATAGCACACCTGTAAATGAGGGTGACTGGGAGTGGATGGAGCCCCGGTTGAGCATGGTCATCATTTGTCCCACAAACGCCTTAGGAATAAGATTGGCATACGGGAGAATCTCTGCACTGATAAGCTGAACAACCTAGAACAAAAGGGGAGTCAAATACAGTCTTTTCCTTGAAACAGACCAAGTATAATTTCTAGAGTAAAAGTTAAATTTTACCTTTTAAGACATTAAAGAACCTTCCCTGATAGAAGTACACGAATGTTTTACTGTTACTACATATGACCATTGACATTAAGTTTTACTATACTATAATTTTATAATATGTTGATCTTCATCCTAAATGTAAATATACAGAAAAACTGAAACTCACCCATGCTAAAATAAAATATCCAAAAATAAGATTAAATTCCTTATAATCAGAAATTATAAACTATGAGAAACTAAAGTTACACTTTTTTTTTCTTGGTTTGCTGTCCCAGAACTTGTTCTTATAGACCAGGCTGGCCTCGAACTCACAAAGTTCGGCCTGTCTCTGCCTCCTGAGTGGTGGAATTAAAGGCGTGCGCCAACACTGCACAGCTAATTTTTGTCAAACACCTTAGCCTGACATACAGTTTATTTTATCCTTGGAAGGAAAAGAAAAGCTCATCAAAGGTTTAAACAGTAATGGCACAGAGGCGACATCTTGATAAATCTATGATGATGCATACACTCTGAAGTCTCCACCTGAAAATAATTTACTTGATTGACTTAAATTAAGCTACCTCACTTAAAGACAACAGATCGCAACTCTTTCACCAACCCAAACTTCAAAGCTAATGAAAAACTTCAAGGTGGCAAGATGGTTCAGTTGGTACAGGACCGACGTAAATGTGGAAGACTCCACAAAGTTGCCCTCTGACCTACACACAGACACACACAGGGAGACAGAGAGAAACATGCGCACATCACACACGTGCCCTTCCCCCTGCTAAAATTAGAAACTTTTAAAGTTTTCAAATCCCATTTATAATCATCCAATAATCAAAAATACAGGAAATTTTTCTAAGTTTGCTTACTTCAACGTCAATACTTTCATTTCTTTGAAATTCTTGAATAGAAAGATTATCTGGAGGTATGCTAAGAAAGAAAAAAAAAAGAGATTTGATTTTTAAAGGTAAAACAAACAGAGGAGAAACAAGATTCAAATGATAAACATTAGCTTTTCCTTCTCAGGTTGAGACAACATCATACACTTAAAAGAATACCCTTTTAAATTCAAGAAGTTCGTAAAAATGATTTGTTAAAATTTCTCTTGGTATAATGTATAAAAAAGAAAGGTTTATAGATAATACCATCCACAACTAAAGTAATCATTGAAAGTACAGCTAAATTTCTTTATAATGATCTTGACATAAAAGACCCTAAATCAAGCCCATAAAATTTTAATATTAAATTCTTTATAGTAAATATAAGAAGAGAACATCCATAAAAAAGAGGCCTAATTTAGATTTTCTAAACCAAGTTATTACAACAAGGACAGAGAAATCAATAGTTCTGAAAGAATCAAATCTAGAATCCAAGGATTCTAGCCTTTCTAATTCATGAATAGTAAGATGGTCATAAATTCACCAAACATTGAAAAATTAACTGTCTATGAACAACTGAATTAGCACAGCTGTTACAACAGCCAAATCAGCCACTGTCTGTAGGAACTTTGTTTGCCTTACTCTTATGGGCCTTCACTGCAACCCCAGGAAGCAAGCAGTGTGACCGCAGGCAACAGAGGGAATGCTGAGGCCATATGTGCCTAAGAACACGTTGGCCACCACACCTCACATAAATAAATGGCAAGGCCACAATTTGAACTGCTTTCTTGACATTTAAGCCTATATTACTTCCTTTTATACTGCAGGCATAAACCAGCACCAGTGCATTTAGGTTTAGTGGTATCACGTACAGTTATACACTGTACACAGCTGGAAGGTTGGCGGGCCTTCAAAACAGACACTAAGCACCAGGCACTAGTCCTTCCCCCTCTAGCTGCCTCCAGTCAGTTACAAGTTATGAGCAGTGAGAAAGGAAGGAACACACAGATGTCCGTCCAGTGTGTCCGGTCAGGGACTGTCAACCCAGATCTGAACACTCGACAGCCACTCTTCATCTCTCTAAGGCTCTTCCTATTAGATCAATGAGCTGACCTTTTAGTAAAGAGGAAGTCTTCAAGTGTGCTGGCTAATTCTGGCCACATGCTGTCAAACTTCCCAGAAGAAGCATGCTGTCGGGCAACAGGCAGCCCAATGGAAAGGACTTTGAGGAGAGAAGCTACCGCCAGTTTCCATGTGCTTTCAGAAGGGCAGGCATACTTCAAACTGAGAGGAACCCTGAGAGTCTGAGGAGAAGGACAGTTAAGATCAGTTAAAACACACACAGCTGCATTCAAAACAAAACACTGCCAAAGTTGTAAAAAGACAGCGTGGCAGAGATCTCCACTGAAAAGCAGGTTAGGAAGACTGATTCTCAGGCAGAGACCCCAAAGCCTACTTCCTAGACTTTTCATTTTCTTTGGAATAGGGAACTAGACCCGGGGCCTTTTGCATGCTAAGAATGATCAGCACCACTGAGCTAACTTGACCTCTGAAAGCTCCATGTGTTTGTAAATTGGACACACAGTCTCACTGACACAGCTCAGGTTGGCCACAACCTCCGTCTGTCTCCCTGCCTCAGCCTCCTGAGTGCTGGGTTACAGATCCGCTGCTACCATGTTGTGCTCACACTGTCTCCACCTATCCTGACCTGCTTCCCCCAGCAGAAAGGAATTTGTTCAGATGCATCTCTCCTTCAAAAGAAGTTAGGGGAGAGTAACAATGTGAAAATACCATTACTTTCAAGTTCCACACTTAAAATTCCTTGAGTTTTATATTCTGCTCAAATATTTTAATGAACTTTTCCTAATACTGAAATAAATTAACCATGCCAGAATATAAAACTTTCACATTTAGATTTGTACTTCAAATAGAAGAAGAAACACAATGAACAAGAGTTTAAGCTAAAAAAAAAAAAAGCAAAAGACAAAATCAACATGATAATCTATATACTATATACAAATAAGAAACTGGTCTTTTAAAAATGAATCTGCATTGCCAGTTAAACTGATCCTGAGGGCATCTCTGAAAACTAAGCATCCTTAAGAGTAGAGGATTCTTTAAGAACTACAGCAAATCCACTGTGAAGAAAGCCCTTACTAGACTAGAGATACAGTTTAGCAGAAAAGCGCCTGCCTGGCCGTTGAGAGGCATTGGGATCAATCTCGAGTACTCTGACACTCCCCACCCCAAAGTCACTCACAGACTAAAAAAGGGGCTTGCTAAATACAATGAATGCATTTGAAGTCAATATAAATAACAATATTTTTCATTCATTCCAAAATACTACCTAAAGAGAAATTTCAATAAATTTATAGTATCAAATAAAATTATAGAGATAAAAAAGATACATTACCTTAATAATATTCTGGAGGACTTTTTCATTCACCACTGCTTTATGACAGGCTGTTTTTTGGTACAAATCCACAACTACTTCCAAAGATCTTTCAGCAAATGGTACATAATTCAAGGCTACCCATTCCGCCTACAAAGTAATATTTTTATGTGGAATTAAAGGTAACGGGACTGGAGGAAACGATATTGTTTTTGAAAAGAAAGCTCCTTTCCTTACAAGTTCAGGCCTTGGTTCTAGATGAGATCATATTACATGCAAAGTTTTCAAAAACATATGTACTTCATTAAAAATCATTTCAGCCAGGCAGAAGTTACAACTACTAGGGAGGCAGAGAGAGCATTCTGTCAAGACTGGGAAGGCGGGCTTTACGTGTTGCCAGTAGGTTAGGACAGTTTTAGGAAATTTAACTCACCGGTGCAAATAGTTGGATCTATTGTGATTCCATTGTGATGCAAGACAAATAGAATGAGAAAAATTAATACATATTAAAACTACTTTCGGACTATATATAATTATAATTTTTATGTTGAATGAAGAAAATCAGCATGTACATGCAGTCAAAAATTTACTTTTGTCTAAGTCAAAATGAAGATATAATTTGCCAACTAAGGCTATGAAAATTTATGTAAAAATCCAACTAAATTTCACACCAGCAATGGATAACTCATTTAGTACACGCAGATTTCTTCACCTTGCACTATTTTAAGGTAAGATTAGGCTCAGAGATTTACAGGCCATTTTCTAGAAGAATGGGGTAGCCAAGAAGAAGGTATAATGGAACTTTCTTTTTTGAAGAAACAGGGAAGTGAAAGGCAAGCTTTCAGGAGAGCCATCTGGGAGAGGAGAGTCACAAACAGGAAGAAAAGGTTCACAGACGCAGTGTCTCAGATAACCTCTACTCTGTAACACACGAGTACAATGAACTGCCTTTCCTTAGGTAACCAAAGTTTACCTTAATTGGAACTCATTGATAAGCTGTAATTCATTAAAGAATAAACACAATTTGTGAACTACCTGATTATATTTTGCATTTGCAATGTGCTTTGTTTCCAGCTGTCCATACTGTGGAGGTTTACAGGAAAACTCTACAAATGCCAGTAACTGGTCAAATATAGCTGGGTACATTATCTGCATGTTTTCTGGTCCAACACAGATGGCCTATAAACAAAATGTGAACATTAGAAAGCACAGCATGAACTGTAGAAAGTTATTCCCTGTGAACTCATTTGTTCAGTCAAAGAATCTAAAGAACTGCACCACCTCATGCAATAGGAAATCTTTTCACACTTGGAATTCAAGCTATTTAGACAATTACTTAAAAAGGAAAAGTCAACCTGAAAGTGGTTAGTCAGGTTAAAAATGATCCTAACGAAGTGTGATTTATTCTTTACATAAGAGGAAAAGGCAAGGGCAAGCATGTTAAGACAAGTGCCAGGTAACGCCGTGGTACGGTACCTAAGATCTGCCACAGGGCAGTCAGGAAACCAGCACTAGGTCAAGATGAAGCTGACTTCACTGTAAGTGCTATAGGCTCATGGGCACAACAACTTGATACTATCCCATGCCTGGTTATATATTCACAGGTATTATATTTGAAAAGTAAATCTTTAAAAATCTCATGCAAAATTATTTTAGTTATGTAAAAAGTTATCAGGTTTTGAAATGATGTTACATTCTGTTTTCAGAGCCAAAGCTCAGAACAAATTCGTAAAGCCACAATGGATAATTACATTTGTTCTTTCCGCTAAAGTGGAATTATTTTAAAAGTCAAATTTCAAGTTTTATCTTGACATAAAGGGATGTGTGTTGTTCTTTGTGACCTTCTACGCATGTGTAACAAACTTGAATACGTAGTTATGAGAGTTCAAGAACCTGGGAATTCTCAGATGAATACTTTTCTGGCCAGAAAGCCTTTTTTACTTACTTTAGTGAAATGTATACACAACGGATTTGGGTAATTTAACCAGAGGGGGAAGGTTTGATGAAGCATAGTTTTTCTTCAATGAAAAATTTTAAAATAATTGATTTCAGTTGTAGAAATTCATGCCCCTCAAACAATTTTTGAATGTAAGATTATCTTGCATTTTGCACTTGTGCACAGTTTGTCTCTCGTACAGTGCAACTACGGCTACAGAGACAAAGAAACTACTCCTAGCCTGACGGCCTCCAGAGGCCGCTTACAGGGACCATGGTCGCCACATAGACAGCAGCAGCATGCTCATCGTCCCAGCTACCGACGGACAGACAGCTCACAGATGCTTGGACAGCAGGACTGGCTCCCTCTTGTCTCAGACACTTTGCTGAGATGGCTGATTACTGAGCTGGCCTGTTCTGGCCATGTTTGTTTCTTGAGGTAGAGTTTCACACTGTAGCTCAGGCTGGGCTCACACTTCACGTGAGCCTCCCTGCCTCAGACTCCCACATATTGGGGTCAGAGCAGACTCCTTACACCCAATTCTGCTCAGCTTTTCTTTTAAAACATTTATTTCCTATGTGTATGTGTGTGTACAGACACTCGCACCATGGCACGGATGTGGAGAGTAGAACAACTTTTGGGATGTGTGTCTTCTGCCACGTGGGTCCCAGGGCCACTGTCAGGCTCGGAGGCAAGCTCCTTTACCTGCTTAGCTGCCCCGTTAGCCCTTGTTTAGGATTTTGATAGTTAAAAATTTCAGTATCAACTTCCCTAATAACCTAAAAAACTCTTTCATTTTGATATGATCTTTCTTCTTCTAATCTGAATTTATTCAATGAATTTTAGATATGTTTAAATCTGTGATTTGGCTGGGTGGCTGTGGCCTTTAATCCCAGTACTAGGGAGGCAAAGGCAGGTAGATAGATCTCTGTGGGTTCAGGCCAGCCTGATCTACAGACCTAGTTCTAGGACAGCTAGGGTTGTTACCTACGTTGAAAACCCTGTCTTCAAAAACAAACAAACAAACAAACAAATCTGTGATTTGTTGCTGTAGAAAAAGAAAATAAACAGCTAAAACTAAACATTTAAAACCTGTAGTAAGAAAACTACTTTGACACGTTTACCCTTGTGTCTTAATATAAGCTACCAATAATTTCAGATTTCACTTTATAATGAATTCTTTTGTTGTTACTTTTTTAAAATGAGCATTGATTGGTGTTTTGCCTGCATGCATGTCTGTGTGAGGGTGTCAGGTCCCTGAAACTGGACTTACAGACAGTTGTAGCCTGGCATGTGGGTGCTGGGCGTTAAATCTGGGACCTCTAGAAGGTTTTTAACCCCAGTCCATGTTCTTAACCCCTGTGTTGTCTCTCCAGCCCCAGAATAAACTTTATCTGAAATTAGAGGATGCAAGCAACTTTTTAATGACTCAAAGCAGAACTGAATTACTTCTTTAAAAGAATAAGTTTTTAAAATCCTAACAATCAGGGGCTAGAGAGGTGGCTCAGCGGTTAAGAGAACTGACTACTCTTCCAGAGATCCTGAGTTCAAGTCCCAGCAATCACATGGTGGCTCACAACCATGTGATCTCAGTGTCCTCTTCTGGCCTGCAGGCATACATGGAGGCAGAACACTATATACATAATAAATAAAGAAAATTTAAAAAGAAAAATATTCTAACAATCTTAAATCTATCCCAAAGTATACATACACAGTAACCTCAAAAAAATCTGACTTTATCTTATAAAGCTTAATGCAAAATGAAAAACTTCAGGAAGCCATATTCATTATTGTTTATGCAGCCATTAAAATGACATTACCTTTTGGAGAACATCTAAAGCTGTAAGTACAGCTTCCTGTAAGCTTGTTAGAACTGCTTCCGTATAAGATGGAAGGATGAAAGGGGACGCATCTGAACTTATTGGGACTGAAACAGCGCTGTGCAATATGACCCCCAACTTCTGTAAGTCATCCATGTTGAAGCCAGCTTTTATGTGCTGGTAGAGAGCTGGGAATATCTGAATCAAAGCTGTTAGAAAAGGCTGGCTGGGAATGAAGGTTAGCTTATCAAAAGTTACAGGTGGCTTTGTGCTTTCAGACCCGATCTTATACCATGTATTCCAGGCAGCCCACCAGAGGTTCAAATCTTCAAGCTCATCAGTCACTATGGGTGGCTCAGCACTGTATCTACCAAGTTTGTCTCCAATGGAATCTGTCCTTACAAACGGCCTGTTCAGGCCTGGGCCTGAAATGTTTCCTATAAGGACAGGTACAGGCACATTGACTACTGGTGGTGTCTCAGGCTTCTCCGAGTCTCTGACAGGTGACACAAGCTGTAATATTTCCTGGAAGCTTTTCAGAGCGGCCAGGGATACTTCATTGTTTTTGCTGAGTGCGGCTGACTGAATGTGGTCAAGAAGAACATCCCAAGCTCTTGAAAAGTCTCCTGCACCAAAAAAAAAGGGGAGGGGGGGAGGAGGGACCAATTAGCACAAAAATGACCTCATTCTCTTAGACACTTTGGAGCATATTTGCTTCATTTTCTGCTTAAATTGACACCAAACTCAAAAGAATATAAGTAGGTTCTAAGGTACTAAAACCATGACTATAAGTAGGTTCT